ATGGATCATTAAAACATGAATGAATGAACATTTGCTGCTCAGTACCCAAACATATTAAATATGTCTCATCTCATCATTAAAACATGAAAAATAAAATGACGGGTAATAATGGATTATGACGGAAATGTTACGATCCTGTCCGTCAAAATGACGGACAACGAAAAAGTCTAACGCAACCACTGGTGTGTGTGTGTGCAGGTGAGCACTCTGCAGATCCTGAACACAGAGAGCGAGGTTTCTTTGATGAGTGACGACCAGGTGTTCTCCAACAGGCAGACGGCCAAACACACCTGCATGGCGCTGCGCAGGTGAGACAGCAACACACTGAAACAAACCTGTTTTTATTATTTATATGCGCATGTGAGCCAGCAGACGGGTTGAAAGACAGATGGTCCGAAGACGGGTTGATTTGATAGAGAGAAATTAACCATTTTTTACTACTACTTTTTTCCAACAATCCTAAAATCGTACATTATACTTTTAGAAAGTCTGTATTTCTAGGGCTCTCCCAATACCATTTTTCGGGCTCCAGATATTCGGTAATAATCAATAGTGAATATTCGGATATTCGGCGTATCATGTCTAACGTTACTGTTTAAACGGCGGATAAAGCAGCTGCATCATGGCAACTGGACAACAGCTAAGCTAAGCTGCTACTTACAGCATTCAGGTGACTTTTCATAGTTGTTGTGCCACCGTGGTCGGCCAGTTTCATATTGCATATTTGGCACACTGCCTTCGTCTTATCGTCGTCCAATTAAAATGGTCCCACACAGCTGAAGTCTTCGGCATTTTGTGTTCAGGTGTGTGAAGTAGGGCTGCACGATATTGGAAAAAACTGACATTGCGATATTTTCTTCCCCTGCGATATGAAAACATACAGGAATTGAAGAAAAGACCGTTTTTTTTTGTCCGCAAACCATCCTTTCTTGAACTTTAATGCTATAGAATTGGTATTTCTTTAACAATATTTAACCGGATGAAGGATTTTAGTCACGGACGTCTGGATCTTAAGTTATCAGAGCAACCAGCTGAGCTAGCTCGGTTATCCTGCTGTGATCTGATCAAGAATGATTGTGATTGGTGGTTTGCTGTGCACTCACTCACTCAAGTTCCCCTGACATGAGAGCCACGCGAGTTTTCCTTTTGTAGCAAGCAGCAAAAATAATTGTAACATGACGTGTTTGAGTTCATTTGCCTACTTAATATCGCACGTCCTAATTTTTTTAATAAATAATCAAATTAAAATAAATCGCACGTCCTGCGATGTGAATATCGAGCATGCGCATAACGCGATTATCGTCACAACACGATATATCTTGCAGCCCTAGTGTGAAGCGTGACATTCGCAACGCTGTGAGTGAAAGCAGTGTTTCCCATACATTGATTTATTTGTGGCGGGCCGCCACAATTAAATATGGTCTAATGGATAGTGAGGTGGGCTGATGATCGGAAGGTTGCGAGTTCAAATCCTGCCTGGAACACCACTTGCCCTTGAGTAAGGCACTTAGCCCTCGGTTACTCCAGGGAGAATGTCCCTGTAATCGGTCATTGTAAGTCGCTTTGGAATAAGGCGTCTGCTAAAGGCCTAAATTGTAAATTATATTTTTGGGAGAATAAACCCCACAGATCCTCAACTGTGTTTCACTCCTTAACAACGCAATACAGAGCAACAAGAACGTTGTCTACAGTAGCCATGAACTCACATGTATTACATTATTTGAGGGGGGGTGGATGCGTGGACCACCCGAATAGGTTAAGGGGCCTTTGGCTTTTCTTTGTTTGTGCGATGCCCCCACAAACAGAATCAAATTCTGTGGGAAACACTGGAAAGCCATGTCAGGCGGGTACAGCCCTAAGTTCAACAGAGTACTTACTGTGTCTGTCAATGATGCTTATCAATGATCACATGTCCATGACAATCTGCAAAACATCTGCAAAGCGGTTAAAAGGGAAGATGCTACTAACCTTTGTTTTATATTGGAATAAAGTGTAAAGTAATTTTTCATTATCTTCTGTATTCCCTTTTTTCTATATTTATATTTTCTTGTAAACATTTTTTCTCAGACTATTCATAATACTAAAACATTTTTAATTAGCTCCTTTTTTACTTACATTTTTAAGTTGATTTCATTATTGATGTTTTGATCAGGTATTTTGAGGCTCACCTGGCAGTGAAGGCTGAGCAGGTCAAACAGTCTCTGCACAACTCAGACGGAGGAAGCACCGTGCCCCAGCAGCCCTTCTATAAGGTAGATAATGTGTTTCATATGTAATGTGTTTCATATGTAATGTGTTTCATATTTAATGTGTTTCATATTTAATGTGTTTCATATTTAATGTGTTTCATATGTAATGTGTTTCATATTTAATGTGTTTCATATTTAATGTGTTTCATATTTAATGTGTTTCATATTTAATGTGTTTCATATTTAATGTGTTTTATCAGGTATTTAATGTGTTTCATAAGGTATTTAATGTGTTTCATAAGGTATTTAATGTGTTTTATAAGGTATTTAATGTGTTTTATCAGGTATTTAATGTGTTTTATAAGGTATTTAATGTGTTTCATAAGGTATTTAATGTGTTTTATCAGGTATTTAATGTGTTTTATAAGGTATTTAATGTGTTTTATCAGGTATTTAATGTGTTTTATAAGGTATTTAATGTGTTTTATCAGGTATTTAATGCGTTTTATCAGGTATTTAATGCGTTTCATATTTAATGTGTTTCATATTTAATGTGTTTCATATTTAATGTGTTTCATAAGGTATTTAATGTGTTTTATAAGGTATTTAATGTGTTTTATAAGGTATTTAATGTGTTTCATAAGGTATTTAATGTGTTTTATAAGGTATTTAATGTGTTTCATAAGGTATTTAATGTGTTTTATAAGGTATTTAATGCGTTTTATAAGGTATTTAATGTGTTTTTATCAGGTATTTAATGTGTTTTATCAGGTATTTAATGTGTTTTATAAGGTATTTAATGTGTTTCATAAGGTATTTAATGTGTTTTATAAGGTATTTAATGTGTTTTTATCAGGTATTTAATGTGTTTTATCAGGTATTTAATGTGTTTTATAAGGTATTTAATGTGTTTCATAAGGTATTTAATGCGTTTTATAAGGTATTTAATGTGTTTTATCAGGTATTTAATGTGTTTTATCAGGTATTTAATGTGTTTTATAAGGTATTTAATGTGTTTTATCAGGTATTTAATGCGTTTTATCAGGTATTTAATGCGTTTCATATTTAATGTGTTTCATATTTAATGTGTTTCATATTTAATGCGTTTTATCAGGTATTTAATGCGTTTCATATTTAATGCGTTTTATAAGGTATTTAATGCGTTTCATATTTAATGTGTTTCATAAGGTATTTAATGCGTTTTATCAGGTATTTAATGCGTTTTATCAGGTATTTAATGTGTTTTATCAGGTATTTAATGCGTTTCATAAGGTATTTAATGTGTTTCATATTTAATGTGTTTCATAAGGTATTTAATGTGTTTCATATTTAATGTGTTTCATAAGGTATTTAATGTGTTTTTATCAGGTATTTAATGTGTTTTATAAGGTATTTAATGCGTTTTATCAGGTATTTAATGCGTTTTATAAGGTATTTAATGTGTTTTATAAGGTATTTAATGCGTTTCATATTTAATGTGTTTCATAAGGTATTTAATGCGTTTTATCAGGTATTTAATGTGTTTTATCAGGTATTTAATGCGTTTTATCAGGTATTTAATGTGTTTTATCAGGTATGTAATGTGTTTTATAAGGTATTTAATGCGTTTTATCAGGTATTTAATGTGTTTTATAAGGTATTTAATGCGTTTTATCAGGTATTTAATGTGTTTTATAAGGTATTTAATGCGTTTTATCAGGTATTTAATGTGTTTTTATAAGGTATTTAATGCGTTTTATCAGGTATTTAATGTGTTTTATAAGGTATTTAATGCGTTTTATAAGGTATTTAATGTGTTTTATCAGGTATTTAATGTGTTTTATAAGGTATTTAATGTGTTTTATCAGGTATTTAATGTGTTTTATAAGGTATTTAATGTGTTTTATAAGGTATTTAATGTGTTTTATAAGGTATTTAATGTGTTTTATCAGGTATTTAATGCGTTTTATCAGGTATTTAATGTGTTTTATAAGGTATTTAATGCGTTTTATCAGGTATTTAATGCGTTTTATCAGGTATTTAATGTGTTTCATATTTAATGTGTTTCATAAGGTATTTAATGTGTTTTTATCAGGTATTTAATGTGTTTCATAAGGTATTTAATGCGTTTTATCAGGTATTTAATGCGTTTTATCAGGTATTTAATGTGTTTTATAAGGTATTTAATGCGTTTTATCAGGTATGTAATGTGTTTTATAAGGTATTTAATGTGTTTCATAAGGTATTTAATGTGTTTTATAAGGTATTTAATGTGTTTTATAAGGTATTTAATGCGTTTTATCAGGTATTTAATGTGTTTTATAAGGTATTTAATGCGTTTTATCAGGTATGTAATGTGTTTTATAAGGTATTTAATGTGTTTCATAAGGTATTTAATGTGTTTTATAAGGTATTTAATGTGTTTTATAAGGTATTTAATGTGTTTTATAAGGTATTTAATGTGTTTTATAAGGTATTTAATGTGTTTCATAAGGTATTTAATGTGTTTTATAAGGTATTTAATGTGTTTTATAAGGTATTTAATGTGTTTTATCAGGTATTTAATGTGTTTTATATTTAATGTGTTTTATAAGGTATTTAATGTGTTTCATAAGGTATTTAATGTGTTTTATCAGGTATTTAATGCGTTTTATCAGGTATTTAATGCGTTTTATCAGGTATGTAATGTGTTTCATAAGGTATTTAATGTGTTTCATAAGGTATTTAATGTGTTTTATAAGGTATTTAATGTGTTTCATAAGGTATTTAATGTGTTTCATAAGGTATTTAATGTGTTTCATAAGGTATTTAATGTGTTTTATAAGGTATTTAATGTGTTTCATAAGGTATTTAATGTGTTTTATAAGGTATTTAATGCGTTTATCAGGTATTTAATGTGTTTTTATAAGGTATTTAATGCGTTTATCATGACTTTTTTGTACAGAAATGTTAGAAATTAACTGATGAAGATACATACTGTCTGTATATTCTGACTCTTTCCAAGCAGTTTAAATTCACAGGTGTTTCCAGCAAAGAAATAGCGCTATAAATTAAGACAATGTGACTTTCTATTTATATACGTTTATATCCGTAATTTGCTAATAGTCTATGGTGTGAGAATACAGAAATTGCTATATCTGCTTCATAAAGAATATAAAATGACTTCTCTTGTCCAAAAAATCTGTTATTGAGATGTATATAAAAACAGAAAGCAGTACATCTAGACTTTTAAGAGCCTGAAAAATTGCCTTTTCTTACAATTTGGCATAAACAAATCCCACTAGCGACAATAAAATAGCATTTGTTTGTTTCTCTTATTGTGTAAACTAATATATTGTAAATGTTAAAGTGTGTTAAGGACTCTTCCTGCTCCACCCTGTGTGTGTGTGTGTGTGTGTGTGTGTGTGTGTGTGTGTGTGTGTGTGTGTGTGTGTGTGTGTGTGTGTGTGTGTGTGTGTGTGTGTGTGTGTGTGTGTGTGTGTGTGTGTGTGTGTGTGTGTGTGTGTGTGTGTGTGTGTGTGTGTGTGTGTGTGTTGTGTGGTGTGTTTAGGCGTACACGTACACCAGGGAGCAGGTGATTGAGATGATGGAGTACCTGATCGAGAGCGCCCCCCCGCAGCTCCACTGGGAGCCGGTGGAGCTTTTCTACAAGATGTCGTGCGTGCCTCTGATGCTGCAGCTCATCTCCACCGCCTGCGACTGGAGGACCTACTACGGCAGGTCGGAGCACACTCTCTCGCTCGCTCTCTCGCTCGCTCTCTCTCTCTCGCTCCCTCTCTCTCTCTCATTTCTCTCTCGCTCGCTCTCTCGCTCGCTCCCTCTCTCTCTCGCTCGCTCTCTCTCTCTCTCATTTCTCTCTCGCTCTCCCTCGCTCTCTCTCTGTCTCTCTCTCTCTTTGTCTCTCTCTCTCTTTGTCTCTCTCTCTCTGAATAACCCAGTTTCCGCATTTACATCAGTTAAAAGACAGTGGTTATGAAAAGTTTTATATTCAACATTACCAACGTGTGTGTGTGCATTTTTGTATTCATTCATTTGTTTTAAGATAGATACTTTATTGCGTAACAGGGACAGTGCACATTAATCAACATTTCTGTACATGTGCCAGTGTGTGTGAGACATACAAATATAACGATAGTTACGGCTGTAACTACGGTTCTATGAGTCCCGGATGACCGCACTGGATATGTCCATCGCGCGCATGCGCAGCTCGAGTACCAATAACAACAAAGTCACCTGTGACCCACGTGACACCGGCTATATCAGCCGGTGTTGTCAGAGGATCTGTTCCCAGAATCTTCTTGCGAGCACACAAGAATTCTGAGTGACAGGATACTCTGGCGGTGCTTTAGCACTGGATGACTTATACCAACCATGTCATGAAGAATCCAAGCACTAGAAGCCAGTTCTAGTAGAACCTGGAGAATGTGCCAGAAGACGCCCACGACACACGGCGTAGATGGTCTCCAGGGGCACCCCTCTTAGGGCAGCCCACAATGTTGAGATACTTCTTGTAGAGTGGCATCTCACCCCTGATGGCGCGGGGCGGCCACTGGCCCCATAGGCATGTGTGATGGTATCAACCACCCAGTGGGACAGCCGCTGCTTAGAGAGAGCACGACCCTTCCTAGTGCCGCCATGGCAAACGAAGAGCTGCCAGCGTGCCAGCTGGATAGGCCGATTGGAGTGGGCTAGTGGAAATACCGGCAGGAACGCCACATTCGGTCAGAGGGCAACACCTGAGCCATCGGAGTTCCACCTCAGGCATGTATTGCTTACGGAGAGGGCATGAAGCTGCCCCCGGTGGAGGCTTGTGCCGTGAGAGGAAATCTGCAACCTAATTCAGGTCTCCTGGCAAAAAGACTGCCTGCAGACTGGCGAGGTGGGGGAGCGCCCAAGGCAAGAGGCTCTGTGAAACCCGGAGCAGCTGTGCGGACCTGGTGCCCCCCTGGTGGTTGATTTGGGCAACGGCGAACATGTTGTCCGAACGAACGAGCACATGCCTGCCCAAAACAGCTCCCCTGGCTCGACTGGCACGCTACGGAGGACTCTCCTACATGTCTCCATTAGTGGTGACTGGGCCAGCCAAACCTGGCGATGAGTCTGTACCAGAAAGGACATAACTCGTCCCAATTCCCTAGCCATTAGGGCAAAGGCCTGCAGTGATCACTGAGGCCCAGCAAAGAAAGCTCGGCCGGAGCCTGCTGCAGAGAGGTGGAGACAGCCAGCATTAGATGGGAGAGGGAGTTTGCGTGCCGCTGCGTCGTAGGCCCTACAGAGCAGCCAGTCTGTGACCCTGCACTGAGGCCGAGGGCACCTGACCCCAGGCCTTAGAGCCTCGTCAGGAGCCAGAATCAGGGAGGCGATGGCAGGCTCAATGGGTGGCATGCCACCCTCGCCAGATCCTGCATGGCAGCCAAGGTCCGGGCTTCGGAGCCAGCGTGGCAGAGGGCCCTGGTGTCCCTCCAGCATGCATGGAGCTCCCTCAGGTACTCCTCTGAAGGAGGAACGGTGAGGGGGACAGGGGCAGGGCTACGCCTGAAGAAGGCGCTAGCCTGAGCCAAGTCGGCCTGCGTAACCGGAATCTGCAAGTGCGCCAGGGCCGTACGAATAATGTCGGCCATGGAGTCGCCCTCCACGCCCTGCAGAGAACCCTGAGCAGAGGACCTCGTCCTCCATCTCTTCATTGAAGAGGTTAGCCGAAGCCGCTAGCGACAAGGCATCCTCATACAGAGGTGCGGCAACCGAAGGAGGGGCAGGCGGCACGCTAGCAGCCCCTATACCGGGCCCTGGCTGAAGGGCCAAGAGGAGCGACTTCATCATGTCCATGTCGGCAGCTAGCTGATCCACTTTAGAGGACAGCCTGTTTCTAGTCCTCCTATTGGGGGGTGCACCCATAGCCATCGCTCCCTCAAGTCGCCGGGAACGTCCGAACTGATCTGGAGGAGGATGTGACAAGGAGAGGTGTCCGTTGGCTGCTGCCAGACGTTCCACCTCAGTGATTCTAGCCACTCTGAGCGCCCGAGGCATACAGCTACAGTGCATGCAGGCGCTTACCGTGAGAGCCTCCCTTAGATGCTCGAGGCCGAGGCAAGAGGGGCAGCGGTCATGGCCGTCCTCTGGCTCAAGAGAAGCCATACAGGCGCTACATGAATGAGCCATTCTGTAGGTAGCCAGATGCAGCGTAGCCGGGTGCCGGAACACAGCCTTCACCAGCTACCTGCTTAACGGAAACAGTAGAGCGGTACTGCTACTCGCCGAACAGAAAAAGGGATGTAATTACACCCACGTTACCGGCAGAGGGAGCTGGAGCAAGAGCACTGCCTTCACCTAGCTGGATTAATAAACAAGGCAGTTCAGCATCTACCAGGAGCGGGGGCGAGAACACTGCCTTCACCAGCTACCTGCTTAACGAAAAGGGTAGAGCGGTGCTGCTACTCGAATAAACAAGGCAGTTTAGCGTGTACCAGGAGCGGGGGTGAGAACACTGCCTTCACCTAGCTGGGTAAAATAAAGAAGCTTTAACAAAGCTAAGACCAGAAACTGGCTTCTAAAGAAAAAACAGCATGGGAAACTCCGCTACTGCTAACCAGCTAAACAAGAAACACAGCTAAAGCCAGAAACTCAAAATGCTAATGGTAGCTTGGCACAACGCCGCGGTCAGAACAAGTACAAAAGCACAGCACGGGCAACTCCTGGGAGAGGGAGCAGAAACGCCACCGTCACCAAAAAAGTTCAAGCCCAAAAAGCAAACGGATAGTAATCAGGACAACTAGGCTGGGAGAGGGAGCGGAAACACTGCCATCACCAACCAAGCCGACACCAGTCCGAACGAAGTCTCTGCGCAGCCGGCCACAGCTCCTGGAGGACGGGTAAGCCCGCGGCTCCGACTGGATGAGTCTCGAAGCTGCACGCAGCCAGCTTTGCAGAGAATCCTTGACAAATGTTCCAACCGAACGCACGCTGTAGGCTACAAAAATGTAGCCACGGTACTCTCGCGCAGCGAGAAGATGAAAAGGAACAGATCCTCTGACGACACCGGTGTCACGTGGGTCACAGGTGACTTTGTTGTTATTGGTACTCGAGCTGCGCATGCGCGCGATGGACATATCCAGTGCTAAAGCACCGCCCCTGGTCAGTAGGGACGAAATAGAACCTGTGTGTGAGATAATGATAATATAACTTGTGTGTGCAGGAGTGACACGGTACGTTACGCTCTGGATATCCTGGCCCTCCTGGTGGTGGTTCCTAAAGTCCAGCTGGTGCTCGCTGAGACCGTGGAGGTCCTGGACGAGACCCGCTCCCCTGTCTCCACTGTGGGTCAGTGACGTTTCACTGTGGATCTACTTTATGTTATCATTATTATTATCAGAGAGGGGAAAAGTACTCTCATCCTTTACTCAAGTAGAAGTACAGATACTCGTGTAGGGCTGCTCGATTATGGCAAAACTCATAATCTCGATTATTTGGGTCAATAATTGATATCACGATTATTAAAAACGATTATCCATTTACTTTGAAAACATCAATTTATTGAAAAAAAAATGAACACTATGTTTTTAACAGTTGATTACCCTGAACTTCAAGTAAAATTCAACTGAAAAACCAATAAAAAAAAACATTTAAATAAAGAAATTAAAACATTTAAAATAAAATAAATAATTGTTTTATTTCGATTATGTTGTTTTCATAATCGTTGCAAGCGAAAATCGTAATTGCGATTCAAATACGATTAATTGAGCAGCCCTATACTCGTGTTTAAAAATACTCTGGTAGAAGTACTGACTACACTTCTTTACTCAAGTCAAAGTAAAGAGGGCTTTGAAATGTACTTCAGTAAAAAGTACCCATAACTAGCAGCTGCTTTAAAGAGTACCTGACCTCCCTTTATATCAATAGAACAATAATGTCATTGTTAGCTAATGAATGTTTCCATGCTGAACAACGGCAACATGACAACGTTTCCATTGGTCCCTCTTCTTTAGAGAAGACCAGGAAATGATGGATACACGGATCGTGTTCAAATCAATAGGCACGCAATGACTCTAAAGAATAATGATCACGCATCAAACACACATTCAGACTAAAGGAACCAGCTGTTTGGGAAATGAGAGAAGTAGAAAGTACAGGTATTTGGGTTCAACATGTAAGAAGTAGAAAGTACAGGTATTTGAGTTCAACATGTAAGAAGTAGAAAGTACAGGTATTTGAGTTCAACATGTAAGAAGTAGAAAGTACAGGTATTTGAGTTCAACATGTAAGAAGTAGAAAGTACAGGTATTTGTGTTCAACATGTGAGAAGTAGAAAGTACATGTATTTGTATTCAACATGTAAGAAGTAGAAAGTACAGGTATTTGAGTTCAACATGTGAGAAGTAGAAAGTACAGGTATTTGAGTTCAACATGTAAGAAGTAGAAAGTACAGGTATTTGAGTTCAACATGTAAGAAGTAGAAAGTACAGGTATTTGAGTTCAACATGTAAGAAGTAGAAAGTACAGGTATTTGTGTTCAACATGTAAGAAGTAGAAAGTACAGGTATTTGAGTTTAACATGTAAGAAGTAGAAAGTACAGGTATTTGGGTTCAACATGTGAGAAGTAGAAAGTACAGGTATTTGTGTTCAACATGTGAGAAGTAGAAAGTACAGGTATTTGAGTTCAACATGTAAGAAGTAGAAAGTACAGGTATTTGAGTTCAACATGTAAGAAGTAGAAAGTACAGGTATTTGTGTTCAACATGTAAGAAGTAGAAAGTACAGGTATTTGAGTTCAACATGTAAGAAGTAGAAAGTACAGGTATTTGAGTTCAACATGTAAGAAGTAGAAAGTACAGGTATTTGTGTTCAACATGTGAGAAGTAGAAAGTACAGGTATTTGAGTTCAACATGTAAGAAGTAGAAAGTACAGGTATTTGAGTTCAACATGTAAGAAGTAGAAAGTACAGGTATTTGTGTTCAACATGTGAGAAGTAGAAAGTACAGGTATTTGAGTTCAACATGTAAGAAGTAGAAAGTACAGGTATTTGAGTTCAAACATGTAGAAGTAGAAAGTACAGGTATTTGAGTTCAACATGTAAGAAGTAGAAGTCAGGTATTTGAGTTCAACATGTAAGAATAGAAAGTACAGTATTTGTGTTCAACATGTAAGAAGTAGAAAGTATCAGGTATTTGATGTTTCACATGTAAAGAAGTAGAAGTACAGGTATTTGAGTTTCAACATGGTAAGAAGTAGAAAGTACAGGTATTTGAGTTCAACAGGTAAGAAGTAGTAAAGTACAGGTATTTGAGTTCAACATGTAAGAAGTAGAAAGTACAGGTATTTGGTTCAACATGTTGAGAAGTAGAAAGTACAGGTATTTGAGTTCAACATAAGATGTAAGAAGTAGAAAGTACAGGTATTTGAGTTCAACATGTAAGAAGTAGAAAGTACAGGGTATTGTGGTCAACATGTAAGAAGTAGAAAGTACAGGTATTGTGGTTCAACATGTAAGAAGTAGAAAGTACAGGTATTTGAGTTCAACATGTAAGAAGTAGAAAGTAAGGTATTGTACAGTTTCAACATTGTAAGAAGTAGAAAGTACAGGTATTTGGGTTCAACATGTAAGAAGTAGAAAGTACAGGTATTTGGGTTCAAAATGTAAGAAGTAGAAAGTACAGGTATTTGAGTTCAACATGTGAGAAGTAGAAAGTACAGGTATTTGAGTTCAACATGTAAGAAGTAGAAAGTACAGGTATTTGGGTTCAAAATGTAAGAAGTAGAAAGTACAGGTTATTTGCGTTCAACATGTAAGACGTAGAAAGTACAGGTATTTGGGTTTAAATGTGAGAAAGTAGAAAGTACAGGTATTTGGGTTCAACATGTAAGAAGTAGAAAAGTACAGGTATTTGAGTTCAACATGTAAGAAGTAGAAAGTACAGGTATTTGTGTTCAACATGTAAGAAGTAGAAAGTACAGGTATTTGAGTTCTGGTTCAACATGTAAGAAGTAGAAAGTACAGGTATTTGAGTTCAACATGTAAGAAGTAGAAAGTACAGGTATTTGAGGTTCAACATGTGAGAAGTAGAAAGTACCAGGTATTTGTGTTCAACATGTGGAAGTAGAACAGTACAGGTATTTGAGTTCAAACATGTAAGAAGTAGAAAGTACAGGTATTTGAGTTCAACATGTAAGAAGTAGAAAGTACAGGTATTTGTGTTCAACATATAAGAAGTAGAAAAGTACAGGTTATTTGAGTTCAACATGTGAGAAGTTAGAAAGTACAGGTATTTGTGTTTCAACATGTGAGAAGTAGAAAGTACAGTATTTTGAGTTCAACATGTGAGAAGTAAGAATAGTACAGGTATTTGAGTTTCAACATGTAGAGTAAGTAGAAAGTACAGGTATTTTGAGTTTCAACATGTAGAAGTAGAAGTACAGGTATTTGAGTTCAACATGTAAGAAGTAGAAATTACAGGTATTTGAGTTAAAACATGTAAGAAGTAGAAAGTACAGGTATTTGAGTTCAACATGTGAGAAGTAGAAAGTACAGGTATTTGAGTTCAACATGTAAGAAGTAGAAAGTACAGGTATTTGTGTTCAACATGTGAGAAGTAGAAAGTACAGGTATTTGAGTTCAACATGTGAGAAGTAGAAAAGTACAGGTATTTGAGTTCAACATGTAAGAAGTAGAAAGTACAGGTATTTGTGTTCAACATGTAAGAAGTAGAAAGTACAGGTATTTGGGTTTCAACATGTAAGAAGTAGAAAGTACAGGTATTTGAGTTCAACATGTAAGAAGTAGAAAGTACAGGTATTTGTGTTCAACATGTAAGAAGTAGAAAGTACAGGTATTTGAGTTCAACATGTGAGAAGTAGAAAGTACAGGTATTTGAGTTCAACATGTAAGAAGTAGAAAGTACAGGTATTTGGTTCAACATGTGAGAAGTAGAAAGTACAGGTATTTGAGTTCAACATGTGAGAAGTAGAAAGTACAGGTATTTGAGTTCAACAGTTGTAAGAAGTAGAAAGTACAGGTATTTGTGTTCAACATGTAAGAAGTAGAAAGTACAGGTATTTGGGTTCAACATGTAAGAAGTAGAAAGTACAGGTATTTGAGTTCAACATGTAAGAAGTAGAAAGTACAGGTATTTGTGTTCAACATGTAAGAAGTAGAAAGTACAGGTATTTGAGTTCAACATGTAAGAAGTAGAAAGTACAGGTATTTGAGTTCAACATGTAAGAAGTAGAAAGTACAGGTATTTGGGTTCAAGTAGAAATAGAAGTACAGGTATTTGAGTAATGAAGTAGAAAGTACAGGTATTTGAGTTCAACATGTAAGAAGTAGAAAGTACAGGTATTTCAGTTCAACATGTAAGAAGTAGAAAGTAGAGGTATTTGAGTTCAACATGTAAGAAGTAGAAAGTACAGGTATTTGAGTTCAACATGTGAGAAGTAGAAAGTACAGGTATTTGAGTTCAACATGTGAAGAAGTAGAAAGTACAGGTATTTGAGTTCAACATGTAAGAAGTAGAAAGTACAGGTATTTGAGTTCAACATGTAAGAAGTAGAAAGTACAGGTATTTGAGTTCAACATGTGAGAAGTAGAAAGTACAGGTATTTGAGTTCAACATGTGAGAAGTAGAAAGTACAGGTATTTGAGTTCAACATGTGAGAAGTAGAAAGTACAGGTATTTGAGTTCAACATGTAAGAAGTAGAAAGTACAGGTATTTGAGTTCAACATGTAAGAAGTAGAAAGTACAGGTATTTGAGTTCAACATGTAAGAAGTAGAAAGTACAGGTATTTGAGTTCAACATGTAAGAAGTAGAAAGTACAGGTATTTGAGTTCAACATGTGAGAAGTAGAAAGTACAGGTATTTGAGTTCAACATGTGAGAAGTAGAAAGTGCAGGTATTTGAGTTCAACATGTAAGAAGTAGAAAGTACAGGTATTTGAGTTCAACATGTAAGAAGTAGAAAGTACAGGTATTTGTGTTCAACATGTAAGAAGTAGAAAGTACAGGTATTTGAGTTCAACATGTAAGAAGTAGAAAGTACAGGTATTTGAGTTCAACATGTGAGAAGTAGAAAGTACAGGTATTTGTGTTCAACATGTAAGAAGTAGAAAGTACAGGTATTTGTGTTCAAAATGTAAGAAGTAGAAAGTACAGGTATTTGTGTTCAACATGTGAGAAGTAGAAAGTACAGGTATTTGAGTTCAACATGTAAGAAGTAGAAAGTACAGGTATTTGGGTTCAACATGTGAGAAGTAGAAAGTACAGGTATTTGTGTTCAACATGTAAGAAAGTAGAAAGTAACGGTATTTGAGTTCAACATGTAAGAGTAGAAAGTACAGGTATTTGAGTTCAACATGTAAGAAGTAGAAAGTACAGGTATTTGAGTTCAACATGTAAGAAGTAGAAAGTACAGGTATTTGAGTTCAACATGTAAGAAGTAGAAAGTACAGGTATTGGGTTCAACATGTAAGAAGTAGAAAGTACAGGTATTTGAGTTCAACATGTGAGAAGTAGAAAGTACAGGTATTTGAGTTCAACATGTAAGAAGTAGAAAGTACAGGTATTTGAGTTCAACATGTAAGAAGTAGAAAGTACAGGTATTTGAGTTCAACATGTAAGAAGTAGAAAGTACAGGTATTTGGGTTCAACATGTAAGAAGTAGAAAGTACAGGTATTTGAGTTCAACATGTGAGAAGTAGAAAGTACAGGTATTTGGGTTCAACATGTAAGAAGTAGAAAGTACAGGTATTTGAGTTCAACATGTGAGAAGTAGAAAGTACAGGTATTTGTGTTCAACATGTAAGAAGTAGAAAGTACAGGTATTTGGGTTCAACATGTAAGAAGTAGAAAGTACAGGTATTTGAGTTCAACATGTAAGAAGTAGAAAGTACAGGTATTTGAGTTCAACATGTAAGAAGTAGAAAGTACAGGTATTTGAGTTCACATGTGAGAAGTAGAAAGTACAGGTATTTGGGTTCAACATGTAAGAAGTAGAAAGTACAGGTATTTGAGTTCAACATGTGAGAAGTAGAAAGTATAGGTATTTGGGTTCAACATGTAAGAAGTAGAAAGTACAGGTATTTGAGTTCAACATGTGAGAAGTAGAAAGTACAGGTATTTGAGTTCAAACATGTGAGAAGTTGAAAGTACAGGTATTTGGGTTTCAACATGTAAGAAGTAGAAAGTACAGGTATTTGGGTTCAACATGTAAGAAGTAGAAAGTACAGGTATTTGAGTTCAACATGTGAGAAGTAGAAAGTACAGGTATTTGTGTTTCACATGTAAGAAGTAGAAAGTACAGGTATTTGGGTTCAACATGTAAGAAGTAGAAAGTACAGGTATTTGAGTTCAACATGTGAGAAGTAGAAAGTACAGGTATTTGAGTTCAACATGTAAGAAGTAGAAAGTACAGGTATTTGGGTTCAACATGTAAGAAGTAGAAAGTACAGGTATTTGAGTTCAACATGTGAGAAGTAGAAAGTACAGGTATTTGGGTTCAACATGTGAGAAGTAGAAAGTACATGTATTTGGGTTCAACATGTGAGAAGTAGAAAGTACATGTATTTGGGTTCAACATGTGAGAAGTAGAAAGTACATGTATTTGTGTTCAACATGTAAGAAGTAGAAAGTACAGGTATTTGAGTTCAACATGTAAGAAGTAGAAAGTACAGGTATTTGTGTCCAACATGTAAAAAGTCGTAAGTAGTGGAGTAAAGTACTGATACCAGAAAATTTACTTAAGTACAGTAACAAAGTATTTGTACACTACTTCCCACCTCTGCTTCTTATTCTAATGAACGATGTTCTGCAGGAATGAGCATCATTCTGGGCGTGGCGGAGGGAGAGGTGTTCGTCCACGATGCAGAGATCCAGAAGTCTGCTCTGCAGGTGAGACGCTCCTTTAATCTGCTGCACTGATGCATGTTAACTATGGGATGGATTGCCATTAAATGTATGTATGTGTCCCACAACGGGGACATTTACAGGGTGGCCAGTGCAGGTATCTTATGTGTTTTTATAGGGCAAATAAAGTATATATAAGGTATCTAATGCAGTTTATAAGGTATTTAATGCAGTGTATCAGGTATCTAATGCAGTTTATAAGGTATTTAATGCAGTGTATCAGGTATCTAATGCAGTTTATGAGGTATTTAATGCAGTGTATCAGGTATCTAATGCAGTTTATAAGGTATCTAATGCAGTTTAAAAGGTATTTAATGCAGTGTATCAGGTATCTAATGCAGTTTATGAGGTATTTAATGCAGTGTATCAGGTATCTAATGCAGTTTATACGGTATTTAATGCAGTGTATCAGGTATCTAATGCAGTTTGAGGTATTTAATGCAGTGTATCAGGTATCTAATGCAGTTTGAGGTATTTAATGCAGTGTATCAGGTATCTAATGCAGTTTGAGGTATTTAATGCAGTGTATCAGGTATTTAATGCAGTGTATCAGGTATCTAATGCAGTTTATAAGGTATTTAATGCAGTTTATAAGGTATTTAATGCAGTGTATCAGGTATCTAATGCAGTTTGAGGTATTTAATGCAGTGTATCAGGTATCTAATGCAGTTTATATGGTATTTAATGCAGTGTATCAGGTATCTAATGCAGTTTATAAGGTATTTAATGCAGTTTATAAGGTATTTAATGCAGTGTATCAGGTATTTAATGCAGTTTATAAGGTATCTAATGCAGTGTATCAGGTATTTAATGCAGTTTATAAGGTATTTAATGCAGTGTATCAGGTATCTAATGCAGTGTATCAGGTATTTAATGCAGTTTATAAGGTATTTAATGCAGTGTATCAGGTATCTAATGCAGTGTATCAGGTATTTAATGCAGTTTATAAGGTATTTAATGCAGTGTATCAGGTATCTAATGCAGTGTATCAGGTATCTAATGCAGTTTATAAGGTATTTAATGCAGTGTATCAGGTATCTAATGCAGTGTATCAGGTATTTAATGCAGTTTATAAGGTATTTAATGCAGTGTATCAGGTATCTAATGCAGTTTATATGGTATTTAATGCAGTGTATCAGGTATCTAATGCAGTGTATCAGGTATCTAATGCAGTTTATATGGTATTTAATGCAGTGTATCAGGTATCTAATGCAGTGTATCAGGTATCTAATGCAGTTTATATGGTATTTAATGCAGTGTATCAGGTATCTAATGCAGTTTATATGGTATTTAATGCAGTGTATCAGGTATCTAATGCAGTGTATCAGGTATCTAATGCAGTGTATCAGGTATTTAATGCAGTGTATCAGGTATCTAATGCAGTGTATCAGGTATCTAATGCAGTTTATATGGTATTTAATGCAGTGTATCAGGTATCTAATGCAGTGTATCAGGTATCTAATGCAGTTTATATGGTATTTAATGCAGTGTATCAGGTATCTAATGCAGTGTATCAGGTATTTAATGCAGTTTATAAGGTATCTAATGCAGTGTATCAGGTATTTAATGCAGTTTATAAGGTATCTAATGCAGTGTATCAGGCAGTGTTATCATGGTATTTAATGCAGTTTATAAGGTATTTAATGGTCATGTATCAGGTATCTATGCAGTTTATAAGGTATTTAATGCAGTTTATAAGGTATTTAATGCAGTGTATCAGGTATCTAATGCAGTGTATCAGGTATCTAATGCAGTTTATAAGGTATTTAATGCAGTGTATCAGGTATCTATATGCAGTGTATCAGGTATTAATGCAGTTTATAAGGTATTAATGCAGTGTATCAGGTATCTAATGCAGTGTATCAGGTATTAATGCAGTTTATAAGGTATTTAATGCAGTGTTATCAGGTATCTAATGCAGTTTTTAAGGTATAAATTGCCCATGTTTTCCCTAACTTAGCTTCCATCTCCCCCACAGGTGATAATAAACTGTGGTGTGCCCCGGATCAGAGCCTGAGTCCTGGGGGGGCTTTCCCCGGCCCCCCCCCCTTATGTTCTGCACCTCATGTGGCAGCTGGTGCAGAACAACAACGGCATCAAGGTAAAAAACACTAAAGGAACTTCAGTCTTCTTTAAAGATCTCCTATCATGCTATTTTTAGGCATATATTATGGGTCTCAGATATATACAGTGTTTCCCCTACCATTGTCTTGGAGGGGTGCTGCGCCCCGCCAACGGAGCCCCGCGCCCCCGCTGAAATTCAATGCATTTTTAAAAAAATATATATATATATATGACATGACATGACATGTCACTTGTTAGACGCTTTTATCCAAAGCGACTTACATACTCAATACTGTGGGCAATCCCCACAGGAGCAATTGGGGTGAAGTGTCTTGCCCAGGGACACAACGACATGCTGACTGCAGTGGGGTTTGAACCTGTGACCTCCTGATCCGAATACCAACTCACAACCCACTGCACCACAGGCCTCCCTATATATAGCACCAAATTGCAAATAATCTATATCTACGGTCACTTTTCACATTGAACATGTGCTCTTTTATTAAAAAAAACTAAACGCTTTCATTTTAAGTTGAGTTTAGTGTTTTTGACCCTAAGAAACACTGATGCATTAATCAATAACAATAATCCACAGCTCCTCTCTCTGCTCCAGAGGATTTAAAAAAAAAAATATCCCAATGCCACCCCCAGGCAGCATTCCCCCAAAGCAGTAAACCTAGGGGAAGCACCGTAAAAATATATAAAAACATGTCTATGTCTAGGAGGCGTGTGGCGCAGTAGGTAGGGCGTTGGTGTTTCGGATCAGGGGAGGTTCAAACCCCACTGCAGTCAGCATGTCGTTGTGTCCCTGAGACACTTCACCCCAAATTGCTCCTGTGGGGATTGCCCACAGTACTGAGTATGTAAGTCGCTTTGGATAAAAGCGTCTAACAAGTGACATGTAATGTAATATATATGAAGTGTTTTGCTCAAAATACCAAACAGATCATGCATTTTAGACATTCGCTCATTTTAGACATCCCTCATCCCCCTCTATTTCAGCCCTGTTACTAAAGTGCTGATTCTGGGGTCCTCGGCTTTAAAAAAATTAATAAAAATGAGGGGGCGGAGCTAATGCCTGCTCAGAATTCTACGAGACTAAATGCTGCCGTGATTAAACGCCATCATGTTCCAGACCACATCAAGGATTATCTCTGAAACAGCATGGAGCTCCAAATGCTGCACAGCACCCCCTAGCGGCGGGCAGGGGGTGCTGAGCTCCCCTGTCTGAATTATTATTTGACGGTTATTGCTGCTCCCGCTGTGCATAATCTGTGTAACCCTAACCCTTATCTCAATGGGCCTCAAACAGTTTGGTCACAATTATTCAAAAGATTATTTCCGCGGCACACCTTCATATGATTCATTATCGTTATAAAACAAATAAGAGAATAAGGAAAAAAACAGTTATGAAATACTATATGGCAGTAAAACAAGAATACAGTTTGAAAGGGGAGTGATTTGTAAAATATCCATAAATAAAAACAACATCTGTTTACAGTTGTGTATCATCTGGGTGTTGAGAGATGTATCCATAGATCTCTCAATGTTGCTCTCAAAGTGCACCAGATTGATGCTTTCAACTTCAATATTTTAAAAAAATCTTCGCGGGGGAGCATGCTCTAGAGGAGCCCTAGAAGAGGTGAGATCCGCTCCCCACTCGTAAAAAAAAGCACTTTACCCCTGCCTATATGCCATGAGCTGATATCGAGCCTGCGTTGATTTTTTGTAACAGTCGCGGGTTTGTACTGTGTGTTTGCGGTGTGGGGAGTGCTTTTGTGCGTGCTCTATAGTGCCCGTAATAGTGTTCACTGGAGTCCAGCACCTCAGCACCCCCACTCAAAATACCTTCCCGCGCCTCTGCACAAACATGTAACTTTGATTTGTGATTTCACTGTAAACTACAGAAGGCTTATAGAGAATATTGTATTGCCTATGACTGTTTACATGTGAGAAGCTGAATAAAAAAAGACAAATCTATCCTTCTCTCTCTCTCAGGTGCTCCTCTCGGTTCTCTCTGTGAAGATGCCCATCACAGATGCAGATCTGATCCGAGCTCTGGCCTGTAAAGCTCTGGTTGGATTGTCCCGCAGCGCCGCCATCAGACAGATCATCAGCAAGCTGCCGCTGTTCACCAGCAGCCACATCCAGCAGGTGAATAACAACAACAACAACAACAACAACACACCTTCAGGGACGGGATTACACACCTGAGCATGGAGGAGAAACGCTAAACCTTAATTGGATAATTGCTGCAAAGATAGATAATAACCCCCTCCTCCTCTTCCTCTTCCTCTTCTCCTCTCTCCTCCCAGCTGATGAAGGAGCCTCTGCTTCAGGACAAACGCAGCGAGCATGTGCGTTTCTGCCGCTACGCAGCGGAGCTAACGGAGCGCGTGTCGGGGAAACCTCTCCTCATGGGGAGCGACGTCTCATTGGCTCGCCTGCAGAGGGCCAACGTGGTCGCCCAATCACGGATCACCTTCTCCCAGAAGGAGCTGTTGGTGTTGATCAGGAACCACCTGGTGGCCAAAGGGCTACATGACACCGCTACACCCTTGTCAGGGAGGCCAACCTCCCCTCCTCCCCTCCTCTGATCTGCAGGAGTCACCGCTCGGACAGACAAGGTCAACTTTTATGATTTGTCGTTCTTAACATCCATGTTTGTTTGTGTCCGCCCCCTCCCCATAAACCGTATTTCATTTCATTTCACATTCTGTTCTTGTACATAGTCATATTCTATTTACGTTACATTTTCTTAGACCCTCGCAGGAAAACCCCCCCAAAGAAAATGGCAGAAACCGAGAGACCGAGAGACAGATATTATTATTATTTGTCGATCTTAACATCCATGTTTGTTTGTCTCCTCCTCCTCTTCCTCCTCCTCCTCCTCCTCTTCCTCAATTTTATAATGTGTTTCTTAATGTCTTTCATGTTTGTAAAGCACTTTGAATTGCCTTGTGTTGAAAGGTGCTGTATTAATAAACTTGCCTTGCTCAGCAGGTCGTATCGGCGGCGGCCATGTTGGCTCGTCTCCTGCGTCCTCATTGGCTGTTGCCTCCTCCTCCTCCACTCCCATTCGCTCCCTCGTCCTCTCCTCCCCCTCGCCAGCGTCTCTTCCGGCGGGTCGGATTCTGTTTTCTCGAGAACGCCCGCCTGCGATCTGTAACTCTGGGAGGAGACTGAGTGCCTGAAGCAGAGTCGGACCACGGTGCCTTCATACAGGTCAGGGAGGCCATTTGGTTTATTTTACATGTTTTTATTTGTGCACTTTGTTTCAGGCTGTGTCTTTTATTTATTTAGTTCAGTGGTCGACAACCTTTTCGACATGTAGTGCCATTTAAAAAAATAAAAATTGTGATCAGTGTACCGACGATCGTGAATTGTCAACGGTGGGGGGGAGCCTCGCTGCGGGGGAAGCAGTGTGTGGACCTCTTTCACCTGTCAGCGTAACTTACATGATGCCGTTTAAACACATTTCAAATTTCAATAATTGGTTTAAACGGCATAATAATAAGGACGACCGTCCGTTCTGTGATTCTCCAGAACACACAGAAGGCCGCCCCTTTGTAGCAATATTCTTTTCGATGAGAGATGAGCAGATCGCCACTGGGGCTTTCAACTAAAGACACTTGTACAGCATTTGTACAGCCTCCTTATGGGTACTGCAATTTGTGAAGTGCTTCTCCTCCGTGTTGAAACGCTCAGCACCACGGAGGAAAGCGGCAGAAAGTCGCCTGGAGTTAAAGAGAGTGGGGCTGCGTTGCGTGCATGACTTCCTTCTGCAGGTAACGGGGGAGACGCGCTCTGGCGGCGGTACTCGTTCAGGATCCGAAAATACAATGTAAATATTTTTGCACACTTATTGACCCCTGATTAGTTTATTAATTCAATGTAGGTGTGTCTTTTTATTTATTTATTTTAATGACACCAACGCTCACTAAAGTTCCAGTTTAATATTTAATAATAATAGAGCCCGCCCACATTTCAGATATTACGTCATATCAGCTTCCGTTGTCCCCCGTTTTAGTAGAGATGTGGGGTAACAGAGGAAAAGAGAGAGGGTTTTATTTCCTGACACTTTGAGAGTCTCCTGACACACACGGGGACACACCGGGGACACATGGTGATGTTGAGAAGACATCAATAAAAAGTGCATTTTGCATGATAGGAGACCTTTAAATCTGTTAAAGCGGTCGCACATAAGCGGCAACATTGCTCAGAACATCCTCTCTTCTACTCTGGTTTCAGACTCCAGCCATGAAGAAGCAAAATCTATTTGTTTTATGTCCTATATGTATTCATGGTTATATATATTTGTTTTTGTATTCGGGATTGTGGGAAACGGTATTTCGATCTCTCTGTCTATAAGTTCTAAAGTTGGACTTTGACTAAAGAATATATCCTCTCTTCTTCTCTGTGTTTCAGACTCCCGGCCATGAAGATGCAGCCCCCCCCCTCGCCCCCCCCTCCCCCCCCTCCCTGGACAGCATCATCACAGAGTTTCCTGAGGGAGCAGCAATGCGCGCTGCATTAACCCCGTCACCACCTGCCCCCCCTTCTCCCTCTTCAACCCCCCACCGCTGCCCCGAGCCCACGCAGCGCCGCATGGCCGAGCCCAACTTCAGCGCACCGGCTGGGTGGGGCGGGGCCTATACCCGAGGCACGGGGGGGTGGACCGAGGGGGGCTGGACCGGCACCTCATCTTCAGCAGGTAGGAAAGCACACTCAGGGAGTCCAAACAACCCATTGGTTATAATGACAACTGTTTAGAAGACACAAACATGAAAAAAACAGCGAGGGACATATTTGCACTTTTTTTGTGGTGGGACGGGCGAAGCGGAGAGGTTTCCCCACGTTTGCCTTTTCGGGCTGTGACCGGCCACCAGACGCTCGCCGTCTTCCATCTGGGCCTGGCTCCAGAAGGAGGACTCGGGCTACCTCCGGGCCGGGTGTCCCTCACTTTTTGATGGTGTTTTTCATGGGGTCGTTGAACCACTC